GTCAAACTTTCGATTTGCATTCCCCCCCCCCCCCCTCAAACTATTTATAATGCAAAAATGCAGCTAAAATGGCATTTTAATTTGATTTTACAACCCATTTTGGCGCCCCCTAAGGTCGGCGCCGGGGGACATATGTACCCCCCTGTCCCCCCCCCCCCCATCGCTACGCCTCTGGGTCTCTGTTACAATGAATCAACCTACAGTAGTTTATTGGCCAGTCGGGGGATTAAGTTTGAACGGGACCCTTAATCTGACCCCGGCATTGGCATGTTTTTATATTTTACGACACTTTTGTCTGTGCCTAAAAGCCTGATGTACGTATACACAGTTACCCTATACTGCACTATGAATACGGTACTTTAATGAAGAAAAATGCGTTAGCTAAAAATACGGTATTATACATAAATATGGTACTTTAAATTGGTAATATTAATATGTAATACATACAATAAGTATTTAGGCTATATAGTAATTGAAAATATTGAATCACACAAATCTAATAAACACATGATAAGCAACGAATCTAACATGTCGGATATCGAATAGAACTACAAGATCGATACTACTGTAACGGCGTTAAATTAATCATTGCAAAGATTGCATACCTTGATAGCGAACTTGTTTTTTTTTTTTTTTTTTAATATTGACAGTTTTGTTGATATAAACTCGGTTCAGGTTTATCTCTTTGTTAATGTTAAATTACTTTGAAAAGCTAATATAAGCGTTAAGCAATAAAATATTATCATCAGAATTATTTTCAATTCTTTAATTTAAAATATTCAAGAAAGACAACGCATAACTACAATCCAAAATATTGTTAAGTAAGTTACTAAATTCACAAATAATTAAATAAAAGGAAAACTAGTGTTTGTATTTTTGTTTATTATAAATATTAAAACGTGTTTGTACAACAATCTCAGTGTTAAAGTGTTGTTTTTTTTTTATTTATTTTTATTTGGACAATAACTTTAAATCAAAACAGCTAGCTGATTTTAAACATTGATTTATATAAATTTAAAGGTTCATATTTTTTTAATGTCACTGAGTCATAATGATATTGATTCATCATGTTTTCTTTATCGTATATATGAAGTATAGGAATATATTATTCAGCTATAACCTGTGACAGAGCACAAATAATTATTTGTTGTAATGTAAATATTTGTAAATAAAGTTTCTGATTAGGTATTTAATCTCAAAAAAAAAAAAAAAAAAAAAAAAAAAAAATATGAAGTATAGCGAAAGTATTGTAATCGTTAAAAAAAATAGAGATATTTACACCTACCTGAGTTGGAGAAACATAGTTTTGCAAACCTCTCCGTACGTCTGTGTGTGTATGTGTGTCTGTAAACACGATAACTTGAGTACCGTTACAGCTAGGTTGATGATATTTATATTTAATATTTACTGTTTGTAGAAAAGTACACCACAAATCAGGGGAGGGTAAAGCTTGAGCAAGGTTTCGGTTTGTGCCTTGTCATCTCCCCCCCCCCCCATCACTTTTCATTTACATATACATATCAATTTTATCATAGCTGTCTCACTTTATTTACATATCCCTACACATATCAATTTTATCATAGCAGTCTCACTTTAGTTACACATCCCTACATACATTATAGTAGTCTCACTTTATTTACATATCTCCACACGTATCACCATCAACTATTTACTATTTACTCAGCATTGTTGTGTTGTACACATCTAGATGTTGTACATATATATTTATTTCGTCTTCAACGCAAAAGTCGAAGTCTTACAGTAACTGGTGTGTTTTCTACTCATGCACGTGCAGGTGACGTGTCCAACGTGAGCTGTGTGCTGGTGGACGTGCCTAAAGTCCCCATGGAGGAGCGGAGGGTTGTCCAGAAGCTTCGATGGGTCATGTGGTGACGTCACGTCAAAACAAATGTTTATATTATTTATGAGCTGTACCGAAGAATATATAAATGTTGTCACATATGGACTACAATATCAACATAAATAAATGTAGCCGGTCCCCAAAAACAAAGTCCACGAATCACTAATTTATTCATTAATTTAAATAAAATCCAAATTCTGCAATGTTTTTTCCTATTTGGGTCGTCCTTAAAAAACGTCACACTTTTTTTGGAGTATTTTAAAATCCATTCCTCCCCACCGCCACACCTCGTCACAAAAACCCAAACCTCTCCTAAAATTACATCACACCCCAGCATACCACCCCCGCTCCCTCAAAATTGCTGTTTAATATTTATTTTTAAACATCGGTTTCTTTCAAAAATATTCAGTGACCTCGATCAACATAGAGTATTTTGATCAATTTCTATCTCTATTTACGAAAACAGTTTTCTAATGCAATATATAAATACAAAAGTATGACGCCACTATCTCAGCCCCTTCCCCCCCCCCCCCCCCCTGCCCCTTAGCACACCGTTACAAAATTACAAATACCCTACCCCGTAGAAGAAGATTTTCCTTTAGACTTTTATTCTCGGTGTTGGGGGTGGGGGGGGGGGTGGGTGACACAAAGAAACAGTGCGTAGAAGTGTGACGTATTTTATGGATGACTCCAAAACTTTGTAGTCTATGAGTGGCTGCTGTTGATGTAAAGAATTTAATGAAAGTTATGGTCAAGCAAAGTGGCCTAGCGGTAGAGACTGCTAACCCGTAAGTATCGAGTTCCAAACCGGGTTCAAGTCAGTAGACCGTCCCTGATTCCACTAAACTCTGATGGGTAACTAACTCACGTTAGGAAAAGTAAAGGCGGCTGGGCATGGTGCTCACCACACTATCTCTTCATATGCCGAGGTCACGGAAACAAGTGAACTCTACTTCACTTACCCCATAGACCGTCAAGTTTGAAAAGGGAACTTACTTACGGTCAAGCAAAAGATGAAAGAATATTTATCTGAATAAAAAACATTTGAACATTTCCGAATTTGATTATTAGAAACCTGAAGGTCTCTGTTACAGATAAATCAACTATAGTTGTTTATTGGCCATTCGGGGGATTAAGTTTGAACGTGACCCTTAATCTAACCTCGGCATTGGCATGTTTTTATATTTTACGACACTTTTTTCTATGCCTGAAAGCCTGATGTACGTATACATAGTTACCATATACTGCACTATAAATACGGTACTTTAAATGAAGAAAAATGCGGTAACTAAAAATACGGTATAATAAATAAACGATCACACCCGCGACGGATATCGAATCTAACTACTAGATCGATACCACTGTGCCGGCGTTAAATTAATCACTGTAAATATTACATACATTGATAGCGAACTTGTTTTTTTTTAAATATTGACAGTTTTGTTGATAGAATCTCGGTTCAGGTTTAACTCTTTATGTTAATGTTAAAGTTCTTTGAAAAGCTAATAAAAGCGTTAAGCAATAAAATATTATTATTTATTCAGCAATATGTTTATTTTCAGCATTAAATGTTCTCTACAAAGAGCTATTACGGTACTGTAGAGAAGACAAGAAAGTGCCTGTATTCGAACGCCTCTAAAAACAGCATCAAACTAGCAATGTTATTTTATTCACAAAAGATGTCAAAGTTTGATTTAACACAGGTGTCGGCAACCTGCGGCTCGCGAACCGCATGCGGCTCTTTTGATGTCAAGGTGCGGCTCTCCAGTTTCTTGTACAGATATTAATAACACCTCAGCCCCACAGTCGTGCTTTATTTAGCCAGAATCGTGGCAACAATTCCATGCTTGCCACTGCCCAAATGCCGACTTTTTCAAATATCGTTAAATGGGGAATGTTGTTTTATTCAGAATGCATTCCTCTACCTGTCAGTATGCATTAATTTGACCTGAGTGACGTAATATTTTTGTTATTAGCTTCCCACGGTTGGGCCAGGTACTGGACTGTGGGGTACGAGTAGGGTGGAAGATAAGCCCTGTGAGAACCAAGGACAGAAGCGACCGATAAAGTAATCAAACCGATACCCAGTTAGTCGGAGTTGACCGTGTTGAGGCCTGCCCGGCTATGGGAGACGCCTCCAGAGCCAGTGGTGTCCGTAAAGAAAGAAAAAAGTTATTGGCTTCTAAAGTGGAATGGGTTAGCCAAACATTTATATTATTTGATTACTACTTTTATCATATCAGAGCTAGCTGAAACACTTTTTGTGCGAAACATTTGTATGTTTTTTAAATGAATCAATATTAGTTCATATTTAACGCTATTTATTTTAAATCATAAACCAAATTTATTTACCAAATCCTTATCAAATATCAAAATATTGAAAAAAAAATAATGTTAGTGGCTCTTTAAAAACTTGTTAATTTTGTAAATTTTAACTTTTGGCTCTTCCTTCTCAAAAGGTTGCCTACTCCTGATTAAACACTATAGCCACATATTTGACAAACAAAATACAAACTAAGAAACATTTTCCCCACTTTAGCCTTTATATTCATAGATACATGCGTATCTGGAAAATATAGGCCTATATCTTGCTTATTTAAGTTTCAGATGAATTAATGTAATTATATCCGAATCAAGAAAATTTATTTAATTAATTCGCCTACGCTAATTTCTATTTATAAATTTACATTAACCAAGAAGGATAACCTACAACTTTGATCACAAAAATAGCTACATGTACAAAGAAATTCATAAATAATTTTGAAAAATATAAAACCTTGTAAATTAAAATGAAAATATTTTTAAGTCTTATAAAAATTATTGCTTAATATTGGTTTTGTAATTTTAAATTATTATCAGGCTCAATTTCTAATTGCAAACAGCTAGTTGATTTAAAGAATTGTCTTGTAGACATGAGGAAAAAGTTCAGTTTTAATAATTGTTGTTGTTCTTTACTTTTGTCGCATATTCCGTTAAGCTCTGTTTTTCGTCTAAAAAAAAAAAGCTCTGTTTTTCGTAAACAAAACCAACATGAGTCGATCTGGAGCAGAAATTCATCGAAAACCAGTCAAAAGTAGTAAACGATCGTTTTACACAGTTCTCTGAGTTTGAAAAATGGAATCCCACCCTGAGCATTGGCATGTCCAAATTTGCAGAAAGTCTATCAACTGTGCAAGACTATCGAGAGGCAGAAGTGAAAAGGCTAGAAGGGAAGATAATCACACCACTAATGAATTATGGTTTGCTTTGTAAACAAACAAAGAATGATATAAAATCATCATTTGCTGCCATTGATTTAGAGATCAGCCAAAAGAAAAAGCTTGACATGACCAGGAGTAAACACCCATCAGACAGACAAAAGATAAGCCAGCTTGAGAACTCTCTACAAAAAGCCAGCCTTGAGGCCACAAGGAGTAGCAAGAATTTGGAACAACAAATAGAGCTTATATTTTGCTCATTTAAATTTCGGATGAATTATATCCGAATCAAGAAAAAGTATTTAAGTAATTCGCCTACGGTTATTTAGATTTATAAATGTTCATTAACCAAGAAGGATAACCTATAAATTTGCTCCCAAAAATGGCTTAAGGTTTCAGTTTTTACCTTATCATCAACCACCTACACCAAACCGACACTGATAGTAGTATTTTTTACCTTTTAAAGGTGTGACATAATACAGTACTATAAATACGGCACCTTAAATATGGCACAGTATATAATATAATATCATGTCATAAATACAGTATTATATATATATATATATATATATATATATATATATATATATATATAATATATATATATATAGATGTGATGAGAGGTGTAGTAATGCATAAAGGACAAACAAACAGACATACATTGCTGTTTATATACATATATATATATATATATATATATATATATATATATATATATATATATATATATATATATATATATAATAACGTGAAATGAAAACTAAAACATTGTTTAGAGAAAATAACATTGTACTTTGAAATTTTGTAAAATAAAGGCCGGTGTCTAGAACGTTTACAAAGTTTAACGCATCTAGTTCAGAACCTAGCAATTGATTTATTAATTCATCAAAACTTGTTTCAATTCATTACTTTTAAATACTCAAGAAAGATATCTAATACCTAACGCACAGTTCTGAAAATGAATGAAAGTATTTCAGTTCTCGTTTAACATTTTATCCGAGGTTAGGGCACAGTTACTCTAATTGAAACGTTTTTAAAAAATATTTAAGAAAACATTTTTGTATCCGTCAACTACTTTACTTTCTGCATCAAATGTTCGCTCCAAGGAATTAAGACTGAGCTGTAGTTAAAACAAGGTAGTGTCTGTATTTGAACGCCTCTAAAAACAGCATCAAACTAGCAATGTTAATCAATGTTATTCTATTTATGAAAGATGTCAGTTTGCTTTAATCACATAGACACATATTTGACTATCAAATACAAACTAAGAAACATTTTTCCCACTTTAGCCTTTATATTCATAGATACATTTGTATATGGAAAATGTAGGCGTATCTCTTGCTCATTTAAATTTCAGATTAATTATGTCCGATTCAAGAACATGTATTTTATTAATTCATCTTTGGTAATTTCCATTCATAATTTTAAATTAACCAAGAAGGGTAACCTATAAAATTGCTCCCAAAATTGGCTAAATGTACAAAGAAATTCATAAATAATTGTAAAAGATACAAAACAATGTTTACAGTCTAAATTAAAACAAAATTATTTTTAATTCTTATAAAAACGATTGTTTAACCTTTGTTTCGTAATTATAGATTATTGTAAAGTTTAAATTTTAATTGCAAACAGCTAGCTAAATTAAATAATTGAGTTGTAGATATAATGAGAAAGTCAAGTTAGAATACTACTATATAATCCTCAGTTTGCGACACAACACTCCGTGTAGCTCTGTTGTTTTAATTTACTTAAAAAGAAAATAAAATTGAAAATAGTACTTACTCTATGTCATGTTATCTGAAATTACTGAAGCAAACTTACACCATCTAATTTACAATTATTGTTTTACTGGTGTCACCTTCCTCCCTCCCCCCCCCCCACACACACCTCTTCGCTGGGAGGCTGTTACATGATGACATGTTCGATAAGAAATTTAGCATTGATATTTTAGTTAGCCGCCATGCTCCATCATCAAAGGATTTATTGATTTGCAATTTTTTTCAATGTGGTGTCAGGCCCATCCACTTTGGTGCGTGGCGTATTTTGTTCTGATCACTACATTGTTCTGTAATCAAACAGACACTGGTATTGGCATGTTTTTACTTTTAAAAATGTTTCCTAATACAATATATATATATATATATATATATATATATATATATATATATATATATATATATATATATATATATATATATATATATATATATATATATATATATATATATATATATATAATACAATATAATATTATATATATATATATATATATATATATATATATATATATATATATATATTTATATATATATATAATACTGTATTTATGACACTATGATAATATATATAGTGCCATATTTAAAGTACCGTGTTTATAGTATTGTATTAGATAACACTTTTAAAAGGTAATAACATGCCACTACCAGTGTGGGTTTGGTGAAGGGAGGGGGGGGGGAGGTGTGAAATGACAAGGTAAAAACCGAAACCTTGCTCAAGCTTTACCCGCCCCTGATCTGTTGTGTGGTTTTCTACAAACGGTAAATATTATATATATATATATATATATATATATATATATATATATATATATATATATATATATATATATTTCATCAACCTAGCTGTCACGATACTTAAGTTATCGTGTTTACACACACACATAAACACACAAACACATACAGACACAGACATACGGACAAAATTGCAAAACTATGTTTCTCCCTTTCAAAGGGGTGTAAAACGTCGAGAACGGTTAAAATCCAGATTTTTGTTTTGCACGATTACAATACTTCCTCTATACTTCGTATACGAAAAAGTAAATATGATGTACCCAGGCAAAGTAAAAGTAGGCCCGGGGTCGGCAACCTTTTCAGGTGTAAGAGCCTAAAGTTTCAATTTACAAAATTTCCCAGTTTTTAAAGAGCCAATATTATTTGTTCTTCCATATTAAGGTATTTGATTAGAATTAGCTATATAATTATTTGTTTATGGGTTTAAGTATGAAAATATATGTATTCATATAAAAACATACACATGTTTCGCACAAAACATAATCAAGTATTTCAACTAGTTCTTTTAGGATAATAAAATCCAATTATAAAACTATCCCTAACCAATTTAGAAGCTAATAACTATAAGAATATGCCACTCAAGTCAAATAAATGCACGGTAAAACATACAAAAATGCCTTCTGATTAAAATAAACTTTACTATTGAAAATATTTTTTTTTAAAAGGGCACTTCGGTAGTTGAAAGCATGGAACCACTGCCACGGGGCTGGCCACATCACAGTTTTGGGGCTGGGCCTTGTGTTCATGCCGTTGTCAGCTGTTTTTATACGCTCTACTCCACCTATTTTCAGTGTTTTTATTTTGTTTAAAGTTGTTTTCCAGTATGTCTATATTCAGAGTTATATAAGAATATTCGAGAAAGTTTAGGGGAGATCACTCCCGGTTTATTTTAAATATTATCAGTTTTGTTGTTAGAATCTCGGCTCAGGTTTAACTCTTTATATCAGGTAAGGGCAATGTTAAATTACTTTGAAAAGCTAGTATAAGAGATAAGCAATAAAATATTATTAATTATTCAGCAATATGTTTATTTTCAGCATCAAATGTTCTCTATAAAGGGTTATAACGGTACTGTAGTTAAGACAAGGAAGTGTCTGTATTCGAACGCCTCTAAAAACAGCATCAAACTAGCAATGTTATTTTATTCATGAATGATGTCAAAGTTTGATTAACATCATAGCCACATATTTGACAAACAAAATACCAGAGAAAGTTTGAGGGGGGTGCAAATGAAAAGTTCGAGGGGGGGTGCAAATCGAAAGTTTAAGGGGGGGTGCAAATGAAAAGTTCGAGGGGGGGGGGGGGGTTGCAAATCGAAAGTTTGTCCCCGGGCGCCGGGAAGGGTCGCTACGCCTCTGCAAAATACAAACTAAGAAACATTTGTCCACTTTAGCCTTTATATTCATAGATACATGTGTTACGGAAAATGTAGGCCTGTATCTTGCTCATTTAAATTTCAGATGAATTAATGTAATTATATCCGAATCAAGAAAATTTATTGAATTAATTCGCCTACGCTAATTTCCATTTATAAATTTACATTAACCAAGAAGGATAACCTATAACTTTGATCTAAAAAATGGCTACATGTACAGAGAAATTCATTAATAATTATGAAAATAATAGACATTGTAAATTAAAACAAGAATATTTTTACGTCTTAAATAAATGATTGTTTAACCTTGTATTTGTAATTTTAAATTATTTTCAGGCACAAGTTTTAATTGCAAACAGCTAGCTGAATTAAAGAATTATCTTGTAGAATTCAGGAAAAAATTCACTTTAAACAATAGCCTCCTCTTTACCATCGTTTACGCATATTCCTTGTAGCTCTGTTGTTTTAATTAAAAAATAATTGATTTAAACTAGTGTTTTCAAATAAGGATATTATAAAAATTAAAATTTGTGTATAAACATTTTTGTTATAAAACTTTGTTTAACATTCTTAATTTTTAATTGGACGATAAATTTAAATAAATGGCTAGCTGAATTAAAAATATTAATTTTCATATATTTAAAAGTTTAGTTTTATCAATGTTGTGTCTATTCTGAATGTTTGGGTTCATCATTTGTTTGGTCTCTATAATAAATACATAAGCATTTTAATAAAGTATTACATTTGGATAACTAGACGAACCAACGTATTAAAATGATTACTGTTTGTAGACAATCACACAACAGATCAGGGGCGGGTAAAGCTTGAACAAGGTTTCAGTTTTTTGCCTGATCATCAACCCCCTACACCAAACCGACACTGATATTAGTATTTTTTACCTTTTAAAAGTGTGAACTAATACAGTACTATAAATACGGCACCTTAAATATGGCACAGTATATAATATAATATGATGTCATAAATACAGTAATATGTATATATATATATATATATATATATATATATATATATATATATATATATATATATATATATATATATATGTGTGATGATAGGTGTAGTAATGCATAAAGGACAAACAAACAGACATACTTTGCTGTTTATACATATATAGATAGATAGATAGATAGATATATACATATACATATATATATATATATATATATATATATATATATATATATATATATATATATATATATATATATATATGTATGTATGTATGTATGTATATATATATATATATATATATATATATATATATATATATATATATATATTATAATAATAACGTGAAATGAAAACTAAAACATTGTTTACAGAAAAGAACAGTGTATTTT